TTTCTACATTCTCTTGAATTAATAAATTTTCTGCATGCTTGTGCATTATCTTTATGAGATAATTTGCTTATTATTTGGGATAGTAAATACTTTCCAAAGGTGCTGGTAGTACTTTTCTAAATAAATTTATTTAGTTCATGTCTTTTCAAATTACCAAATATTATTGTGGCTTATTATAATCCTTTCCAAATTAGCCATTTGCACTTTTACATTTGTTCCATTAAGGGCGAGCTGACCTAACATATTTAATCTGTTCTAACAATAACTGAGTGACCTCATTAGGATTGAGGACATCTCTGGAATTTTGCTGTAACTACAAACAGGTGTTTGAAACTGAAGAAAATGAAAACAAGTCCACGAGAGCCACAATGTGACCATGGATATAGCCCACGTGAATTTAGAGATCATTTGAAGAACAGATTTGATACATTAAACATTAAAGACTGAAGATCAGAGGAGTTGTGGGATAACATCAAGAACATTGTACATGAAGAAAGTAAAAAGTCATTAAGAAAGAAAGAAGGAAATGATCAAAATGGATGTCAGAAGAGACATTGAAACTTGCTCTACAGCATAGAGATGCTACAGCAAATGGAATAAAAGAGGTGGTACAAGAACTGAACAGAAAATTTCAAAGGTCAGCTTGATTAGATAAAGCCAAATATTACAACAAAATGTGCAAAGATCAGGAATCAGAAAATCTAAAAGGAAGAACACGCTCAGCATTTCTCAAGCTGGGGGAACTGAAGAAAAAAGTAAAGCCTGGACTTTCGATATTGAAAGATTCTCTGGGTAAATTATTGAATACCGCAGAAAGCATCAAAAGAAGATGGAAGGGATACACATAGTCATGTATGAAAAGGAAGTGGCTGATGTTCAACCGTTTCAAGAGGTAGAATATGATCTAGAGCCAATGATACTGAAGGAAGAAGTCCAAGGTGCATTGAAGGAATTGGCAAAGAACAAGGCACCAGGAATTGATGGAATACAAATTAAAATCTTTCAAGAAAGTGATGCAGCACAGGAAGCATTCACTTATCTATGCCAAGAAAATTGGAAGACTCCTATCTGGCTGACTGATTGGAGGAGATCCGTATTTGTGCCCATTCCAAAGAGAGGTGACCCAATGGAATGTGGAAATCATCAGACAATCTCTTTGATATCCCATGCGAATAAAGTTTTACTAAAGATAATACAGAAATGACTGCAAGCATACATTGACAGAAAACTTTCAGAGGTTCAAGCCGGATTCAGAAGAGGCCATGGAATGAGGGGTATCATTGCTGATGTCTGATGGATTTTGGCTGAAAGTTAGAACGATATTTACCTGTGCTGTATTGACTATGCAAAGGCTTTAGATTGTGTGGTTCATGACAAGCTATGGACAACATTGCGAAGTATGAGTATTCCAGAACACTCAATTGTGCTTATGAGGAATCTGTACCTGGACCAAGAAGCAGTTGTTCCAACAGAACATGGGAAAACTGGATGGTTTAAAATTAAGAAAGGTATATGACAAGGTTGTATTCTTTCACCATACTTATTCAACTTGTATGCTGAGCAAATAATCCTAGAAGCTGGATTATATGAAGAAAACTGTGGCATCAGGATTGGAGGAAGACTCATTAACAACCTGACATATGCAGATGATACCATCTTGCTTGCTGAAAGTGAAGAAGACTTGAAATATTTACTGTTGAAGTTCAAAGAGCACAGCCTTTGGTATGGATTGCATCTCAATGTAAAGAAAACAAAAATCCTCACTACTGGACCAATAAACAACATTCTTGTCAATGGACAAAAGATTGAAGTTGTCAAGGACTTCATTCTTCTGAGATCAACTATCAACACTAAGAAATCAAGCGACATAGTGCATTAGGCAAATCTGCTACACAACTGCTTTTTAAAATGTTGAAAAGCAAAGATGTCAGCTTGAGGACTAAGGTGCGCCATGGTATTTTCATATGTATGTGGAAGTTGGATAGTAAATTAGAAAGACCATAGAAGAATTGATGTTTTTGAGTTATGGTGCTGGAGGAGAATATTGAAAGTGCCATGGGTTGCCCATAGAACCAACAGATCTGTGTTGGAGGAAGTGCAGCCAGAGTGCTCCTTAAAGGCCAAGACGGCCAAACTTCATCTCTCATACTTTGGACATATTGTCAGGAGGGACCAATCCTGGAGAAGGGTATCATATTTGGTAAGGTGGAGGGTCAGCGAAAAAGAGGAAGACCCCCCGGTGATATGAATTGGCAAAGTGGCAGCATCAATGGGCTCAAGCGTGGCAACAATAGTGAGGTTGGCCCAGGATCGGGCAGTGTTTCATTCTTTTGTTCATATGGTTGCTATGGGTTGGTACCGACTCGATGACACCTAGCAACAACAACAACAAACAGGTGAGTATTAATTCCTCAGAATGAAACAGTGATTCCTCTCAGTCTACACCCTTTTGGTTGTTTTCCTTTATTCAAGTTAAGTACACACCTGAAATACTCATTTCAAGGTGTATTGGTGTGGGTATGAGGAGAACTACATTATAAATACCTACATTCTCAGACTGGTGCCCAGAATGTGTATTTTTCTAGATGATTCCTCAGCAAAGTTAGGAAAGTCCATTGGTTTGAACTCTAACCAATGAGATCTCAAAGTACACATCATATAACAAAATATTCCTGCACACTTCTAAGAACAGGTTGGGAGCCAAATGTAGTGAGTAAGGCAAAGAGGATTACTTCAGTAAGACTTTGATGGAAGTTTTATCTGAATTTCCACATTTTCTGGAACATTTTCTATTTTATATTCTAAGCATTTTGAAACTTGCTTAATATTCAATGAATGGTAAACTGGGCCTATGAAGACAGGATCTATTTTTGTATGTCTATAATATTTGACAGAGTTAGTATTCAATAAATATATATTGAAGGAATAGGAGATTGTCACTTCTAGCATCTTAAACTTATCCTTTCCAATTTTAAACTTACCTCTGCTTCCTATCCTAGCTTTTCTTCCCAAACCATTCTAATTCAGCTATTTATTCCTGTATAATTAAATACTTAAAACGAAACCAATTTCCTTTGTTCTAATGATCTGGTAACTTGGCTTCCAGTACAGCTTGCTTCTAGGGAAAAAAACTGTGTTTGACACACTGATGATTAAATCCATCAACAATGATAGTTTTCATTATGATTAATTTAGTGGTTTTTAAAGTATGGCACTTGGGAACTTGGTTTAGAAATGCAAATTCCTAGATCTACCCAGACCTACAGAATCAGAAATCTTTGTTTTAACATATCTGCCAAGTGATTCTTCTATATGCTAAATTACGAGAACCACTGGGATGATTTATATTCTTAGGACTCACTTTAGGGTGAAGGGACTCTGGTAGCACAGTGGTTATAAGTTGGACTGCTAATCTCACAGTCACAGCGGTTCTGCAGGAGAAAGATGAAGCTTTCTGCTCCGATAAAGATTTACAGACTCAGAAACTCTCTCTCTCTCTATAGGATCACTATGAGTCAGAACTGACACCACAGCACATAACCACCACCACCTCTTTTAGGGTGAGTGAGTAATCCGAGAGGTCAACTAATCCTTCAGGGTTGAAGGACAGACACTCTGCTGTGGTGATACACAAATGTTAAGGACCCACATGTGAGGTGTCCAGACAGACAGGCAGTCGGCCTCCTCAAATCAGAGTCCAAGCTTGTTTTGTATACACTAAAACCTTTTCATATCCAACACTCGATGGACTGTCTTGTTTTTCCAGGTCTTGCAAACATTACCCCCTTGACGGGTGTAGTTTTACCTGTAAGGTGCTCAGTAGAATAGTGGGTTACCAGTTGGGCAGAAAACCTCCAGTTCAGTAGTTCAAATCTAAACCCTTTACAGAATCACTATGAGTTGGACGTGACTCCACAACATATTACCATCACCACCACCAGTCTATCTACTGCTATTGCTGGAAAATAGTGAGTTTTTCTTCTCTGGCATGTTTTCACTTTGCATAGAACTTCCATTTAAACTTCTGTGTCTATTGTGCCAAAGTATATCGATGTCCAGACTACATCATTATTGACATACAAATATATCTTTAGGAACATTGGTGATCAACGGGTTAAGCATTGGCTTGCTAACTGAAGGGAGGGTGGTTTGAACCTCTATCTGCTCTGCTGGTGAAACATGAGACAGACTATTTACATAAAGATTTACCATCTCAGAAACCCAGAACAATTCTACTCTGTCCTATAGGACTGTTCTGAGTTGGAATTGACTCAACAGCAGAGGTTACCTTGTGTATTTAGTTAGATAAGAAAAGCGGAGAGAAGACCAAATGAAAAATATTTAAAAAGGCAACACCAAGTGTTGTTGTTGTGTGCCGTTGAGTTGGTTCCGGCCCATATCGACCCATTACAAAGTTTTTTGAGGCTGTACATCTTCACTGGAACAGAAAGTCTCATCTTTCTCCTGCAGAGTGGCTGGTGGGCTCGAGTGGTCGACCTTTTGGTTCCCAGTCCAGTGTTTATTCTATGGAGCCACTGTGCTCCCATATCAAGGGTTGCTGTGGTTAAGTGCCGTCCAGTTGGTTCTGACTCATAGAGTCACTTTCTAGGTAAAGTGTTTCCGAGGAGCAACTGGTGAGTTTGAACTGCTGATCTTGAGGATCAAACTAACTTTGTGGTCCAGTGCTTATCCTACAGCACCACATCAGTTAGTAACAATAAAATATTGTCTTGCCTAGGCAATAGACTGCTAATCTCTAAAGTCATAATCAAATGGCACACATATTTATTTATTCATGGTCCTAAAACTTTTATTACTCTTGACTTTAAGAATTGGTATACCAATAAATTAACTTGGAAAATACACAGCGAAGCATATCTTTCATCACTAAGGGAAGGAAAATATGCAAAACATCTAACAATTGAAACTGTATGATAAGTATCAGGCTCAATATATTCATTTTATAATGGAATAAAGAGTAATGACAAGCATTAACTTACCATAGATTCAATTTTTCCACTCAAAGTCCTATATTCCTGTGTACCTGGTGAATTTAACTGATCAGTATATTTGACATTTAGGATGTGAAAGCTGCTACGGTAAAAGTAAGATTTTTGATCTGTTAAAAGAAAAAAATGACAGAGTCAGTTTGGCATTAAAAATAGTTTAATATTTATATTATTTTAGATTATCAGG